AAAAATTATCAAAACATTACTAGTTTTGAGAATGTGTCAGAAGATAAAGAGCTCTACATTTTGTACACAACTTTACAATATTTACAACCACAGGGTAATACCTTTATATTAAAATTGCCACTAGGGGAAGGGTACTGTTCTGAAGGCTCCAAGAAAGCAATGGGTTTCCTTAAGAACAGAGATTAATTTTCAAATCTAACCTTCCATAGGGTTTAGAACTTGATGAGAGTCCTTGAAAACCATCAATAAGACCAGTAAAATGTTAACTTTTCTTGTACTTAATATCCAAAAAAATCAACAGCTTTTATATACTTTTTCTAATAATGGAACAGTAAAATCTATTCCCATTTTCTTATTGTTAATATAATACAGAAACTGTTGTGCATTCATGATCTTATTTAACCCTGGAATTATCATAGATTATCCTTGCCTGGGGCCACATAGTAAGTGGAACTCAAACCCAGGTTAAACTCCCCACCCGCTACTTGGTAGGTTGCAGTTTCTATTTGTTACCTTTGTCACAACTTTCCTGCGTAAAAATCTTTGCAGCAGTCCTTGCATGGGCTCGCAATCCCACCGCAGCTGAACCCAGCGGAAGTGCTGCTGCACCAGCAGGTCGGAGCCCTGGAGACAGGCCTTGGCAATGGTTCCCATCAGAAAGCAGTTCTCATGGAAGTAATAGCATTCAGATGTTCCATTTCCTAAAACAACCAAGCCATGGTCCAAACTCAGTCATAGTATGGCAAAAATGCAGATAAAGAGCATGAAGTGTAATTTGTAACTTTGAGAATAGAAAGATTATAGGGAAACTGAGGTGATCAATCATAAGGAGTCGTTTAGCAACCTGGGACTCATTCTACTTGACTTGGGCCCTGTTTACACTCTCTCTGAACAATCATCTAACAACCTTGACCTCTACCTGCATTGAGCTGCATGTATGACTGCTTTAAACAATGGAAATAAGTTACTTTCCTTAGCAACCCATCCATAAAGCCCTGTTTCTATTCAAACACATCTTAGAACACAGTCCATGAACTATGGGCAATGGCCAATCCAGCTTAGATTGGTTTAGGGTGCGTGCACAGTAAGGCAAAACTGTGTCCCCAAGTGATCTTTTAGGGATAATACCCTATTTACTATCTTATGACTATGTATAATTTGGCATGCATTAAGGGAAGGGTCATGCGCAATAAGCAAAGGCTTACACATTCCAAATCTTTTAATCAAAATAGAGAACTTCCAATTCTACCCCTCTTAGCAACCAAACTCCTCCTTCTTTTGAACCCATAAAAAGAAGCCCCAAACAACAATTGAGATCACTGAGTATCTTCGCTCAGTCTTGAGGCTGCAATCCATTCTGCTCTGTACTATTGCTTTGCTTTTGAATAAAATTTCCCTGCTACCTTGTGATCCACATGGGCTCATTCCTGAATAAGAGGTCAAGAACCTGGAAACACATGGCCTAGGCCCCAGCTACTGACCACTATGCCACAGAGGTGGCTTCTGAGCCTGTTTTCTCTACTACTTTTACCTTTTTGGAAAGTCCATGGACTTTCAGTGCTGTGGTTTTCCAGAGGTGCTAAAAAGTCCCCCAATAATTCAGACAATGAAGATTTTTCCAAATTTTCTAAGATGATGATTATTTTCTTCTTAATGGGAGGTTGTTTCACAGGGATCAGACAAGCTGTGGTCAGAAAAAAAAATAAAGGTTAATACTTTTGCAAAACATCCACAAATTTGCAAAAATTCAAAAGTAGGAAGATATATTAGCAAAAATGTAGTGTGGTGGACATGCTCTGAGATTGCTAGGGAAGAATGACTACAGATATAGAGGATGGTGTGAGAGTATTTGACACAGTTGAAGAAATACACAGTGATCTACCCCATTTACACAACAGATCTTGGGCAGAACCCACCCAAAGTCCATCAACAATGGATAAACGGGTATATTCACACAACAGAAATGATAACTAACAACATAGAAAGCTGTCACAAGCAATACATTAATTAAACAAGTCACCAAGGAATATATACAATATGATTTCACCATGTAAAATTCTAAGCAATCAATGCTGCATATTTAATTTATGGATTTATACATAGGTAATAAAAATGTAAAGGTATATTAAGAGCTAGAGATGGGGCTCTGTAATAAAATGCTTTCCTCGTAAATATGAGGTCCTGGATTCAATCCTCAGCATGTACAAGAAAACTGCTGAGAAATTCTTATTACAAAAGATAGAATAATGATTAGTTACCTCCAGAAGAAAGGATTTATGAGCAGGGAAAGACACACAGGTACTTTCCCAAAGCTGGGCTAAATGGCTAATTTATTTAAAATTATTCACTGATCTGTAAGTATAAGTAGTATTTTATATGCTTCATAGTATAAAAGGTAAAACCCTCCCTAAGTTACCTTTAAGTCACACACACACACATAGCATTACATAGGCAAGGCTTCACAGACATAAGTACATCCTAGCCCTCATTTCACGGGTCTCACGGAGTGTGAAGTGATTCGACTAAAGTTTCGGAAGCAATGTTAAGAAAGGAGTCAAATCTAGTGCCTCCCATCTCATCCCTTCTACTCAGGTGAGAGGGAATGACTGTGTATCAACCCAAATTGAAATATGTAAACTAAATGGGAAGTTATTACTTACAGAAAATGAACAAAGCGTTACACAAAACTCCCATAACACCATGCTTGGCACCTACGAAGCTCTCATATACCATTATTGTTTTAGCTAAGCCATAAATACAGCAAGCCTTATATGGCAATTAATTAAAAAATTAAAATTTTAAAATTTTTAGAAGATTTAAGATGTCTTGGTCATAGTCAAATCAATCTTGAATGAGGAAAAATCAATTTAAAGTACTTGTGAGTAACATTGGGAAGCACTCTACTTGTCATGAATACCCGCAGGATAATGCTTTATGTTCCTTCTGGTTACTGTAGATATGAGTGCATTTCCACTCTCTAAGGGATCCGTGAACATTGTTGTGGTGGTTAGAATGAGAATGTCCCCTATCGACACTAAGTATTTGGACACTTGGTCCCCAGTTCCAGGGGCTGCAGAAGATCATGGAACCTTTAGGATGTGTGGCCATGTGGGAGGAAGCACGCCACTGCAGATGGGCTTTGAGAGTTCTTAGGCCTTGGTGGATTTCCAATTTCATTCTGCTTCCTGTGACTGCTTGAAGATGTGAGTGTTTCACTGTCTCTTTCAGCCACCTCTGTGGCCAGGCCTCCCCCGCCATTATGGACTCTTCCTCTGGAACTCTTAAGCCAAATAAACTCTTCCTTCTATAAGTTGTCTTGGACAAGGTGTTGTATCATAGCAACAGAAAAATAACTAATATAATCATAAGTGAATCTCTTCAGATAATTAGCTTTAAAAATTAGACTAGAAAGAGGACCCAATTCTCAGTTTCCTAGTGTCTGGGGAGTGGGCATCACACTAGGGTCTAATGTGATCATTTAATTCCTGTGTTTCTTAAGTTTCAAACACTATCTCAGAAATATATGTATGTGAACAGCAGTGGGAGGTACAGGTAGGAAGATCAAAAGTATGAAGCAAGCCTGGGTTAAACATGTTTGTATATATGTATTATAGACGAAACTGTAACTGGTTAAAATAGTAATAAAAAACTAACAAACCTTTCTACTTTGTGGTAAAACACTCATCTAAACCATTAGGTTTACATATATTTTCCTGTAACTTAGAACTGAAAAATTCTAGATTTTCTCTGATTTGTGTTAAGTGCATGGCTCATCCAAGTGGCTCTGCCACTGCTGTACCAGTTAGAATGTGCTGGGACAGACAATGGTGGGATGGGCTGTGTTTAACGTCTGATGTGTCTGGGGAGTGAAACCTTTCTGAGATTGGGAGCAGTAGTGGTGGAGGAGGGATAAAGAGGGGAGGGGGAAGGAGGACCATCAGTCTGGCAATAAAATGAGTAGATGTGCAGGAGTACAGGAAGGCTCATGGGAAAAGAATCATTTTCTTGGTCCACTAGGAAAAAGCTGACTTAATTGATAGTGGACTCTCAGAGTTTATGAAGAAAAGGAATAGATGAAGTCTGTTGTCCATAACCACCAGGTTTAGGCTTTTACCTCATCTGTATCTTGGTCTCTCGTGAGGTACCAATCAAGCACAGAGTGTGGGCATCACTGGTGAGAAACTGTGTTTAATGCTGCTGGCCTCATGTCTTTCTTTAGTCTTTCCTTACCATCCACTTCTCTGTGTGACCCCTTACCTTAGACAAAATTGCGCAAAAGTAATTTTTAGTTTACCTGAGAAAGAGCATGTCTCTTGTTTAGGATATTTAGCATAGTTTCAGGTCTACAGGTTAACCAACCGCAAAAGCAAGAGCTCATTACCAAATTTTGAGGGTGAAAGTTTAGCCAGTCTTTGATCAGGGTTTCCGGAGGTGTAAATGAAAACCACTCACCCCATTTTATGTCTGCGGATTTCTTTTGATACATGGATAGAAACTCAGCCCTTTGGGATCCCTTTGCCTTATGCTACCTCAAAGCTCACTTCTGAAAGAATCTTTTCAAAAATTAGAGATTGTATTGGCCCCATTCCTCTCCTGGAGGTTGGCAATTTTAACTGGAAATAGAGGTTCGGGCTGCATCTCAGTTATTTCTATCCTTCCATCAAAAATCCTTGATTACGCAGCAACACTTTGCAGTCCGAAAGTAGTTAATGTATCACAACTAGAGCTAAACAGTTCTGCAGCTAAACCCAAACTCTGTCTAAGGTGGCCCTGTGCCTATAATCACCTCACTGGGACTGAAAACAGCCCTTTTACACTGACCACTTAAGTATCTGCAGGAACAATGCTCTGAGAGACCAAGTGAAAAATATAGGGAAACGCTTCAAAGAGCCAGTAATGTGGGCCTGAGAAGGTACATCCACTTGTGGAGATGTCAATGATCATCCTCATCTACTATTATTACAGTAACTTCATTCTCTATTCTAAACAACACAGTTCTCCCAGGAAGTTGAAGAGTTATCTTAAAATACTGATCTAATTTAAATTTTCTTCTATTTCACCACTTGCTGCCACATGCAATTTTAATAGCCATCTGTCTTGCTGACCCAGCTTCATGCCTTCTGCTCAGGAGGAAGTTGAGTCAATTGTAATATGCATGCACACCCTCCTAACCAAATAAAAGTCATGTGATGTGACTCTCACAAAAGGCAATATGAGAAGGAAAATGTTATTTTGAACTAAATAAATACAAGATGATTTATGCTACTCAAAGTGCTCTGTCATTCTTTCCGAGACTTCTTTTGTTCTTACTCTTTCCTTCACTGGCACAATTTCACATTCCATGTAAGTTTTGGATTCTTAAAGCTATTACAATTTGTTGCTCTTCTTCTTGTGATTTTTGCTCTTTTATTCATTCTCTGTGGCTCTTTCAGCAGGTTTTATCCCATAGAGTGATAGAGAAGAACAAATACAGTAAGCTATGTGCTGTGCTTGCTTGGAAGATATGTTTGATGTGTAACCGAGTGGTGTAAGTCTCTATTTTTAGAGAAAATAAGGTTAATACCCAGGAGCACATAGATACTTACTGATCTGATCATTTTCGTTTCTTGATAAAAAGGCAGGAGTGGCTCTGTTTTCTCGGCACTGGGAGCAGCTCTCCTACCTTGGCCCCTCACCCCTGAAAATGGATGCCTGTTCCAAGTTTGTCTCTGCCTGCTCCTTGGTCAGGAGTGCCTCTCAGCTATTAAGTCACCGGCTATCTGCAGTGGTGTCGAACTGACCAGAGACATTGGCAGACAACAGACTCAGAAGCTTGGAAGTCCCACCATGCCTTGCCTTCACTTGTTCTTAGCTACGGTTTCCAATCCAGGGCCATTTCGAGGGACATTGACACTCGGCAAAGTTCATGCAGGATGGGGCTTCCACAGTTGTGGAGGCTGGCTCTGGAGTGTGTTTGGGAGTTTCATCATCGGCTATGTAGGAACCCTTCTCTGAAGTAACTTCTTTTCCTACTCGATTTCTGGGCTTTGCTCTCCTGGAGGCCATGGGGCTCTTTTGCCTAATGGTGACCTTTCTCATCCTCTTCAACCATGTGAAACAGCTATCTCCACCTCCACCTCTACCTCACATAGTTCTTTCTCCCATTTTTCATCTGCCCTGTTGTGCTCATTTTTCTGAATTTCCCTAGCAAGTCTGAAGAAGGTGGTTGGCTCAGGTTTTAGCAAAGACATGGAAGGTGGAAAGACAAAGGACACGTAGAGAAGAGAAACTATTTTCTTCTAGATCACACACTTCTACTTTGAAAAGTTCAGATAGGCAACTCAGACACATCCAAGCCTTACAGTAAAGTATTGAACAGCACTGGCTTAGTTTGGGGGCAATGGAGGGATGCGGGGGCCAGAATCACAAGCAGTTTTGGATCAGAAGTCTGCTGGCCAGTGGCAAATATGCAGGAAGGAGAAACAACAGGTAAGAAGTCATAAGATAGTTCTACCAGGAATGGATATGAAAAGGCACACGGTGACTGGCTAGGCTAGGTAGGACCATGGACTTGATGTGGACAAAGGTGAGTAGGTGATTCTGTATTTATCATATTGCTTAAAAATTAGAATATGGGCTGGAGAGAGAGCTTACTTGGTAAAGCACTTCCTGGGAAGGCATTAAAACCCAAGTTCAATTCCTAGTACTCACATAAAAAGCTACATGTGCTGACTTGTACCTGCAGTCCCAGTGCTAAGAGGCAGAGACAGGAGGATTTCTTGAGATCACTGGCTAGCTAGCCTAGCATAATTAGCAAGCTAAGTTACAGAGAACTTGTCTCCAAAAGCTAGGTGGACAGTACTTGAGAAACAGCACCCAAAGTTAATCTCCATATACATATACACACATGCACAGAGAGAGAGGGAGAAAGGGAGAAAGGGGGGGGAAGGGAGGATGAGAGGGAGGGAGGGAGGGAGATAGAGAGAGAGAACATACACACCCACACAGATTAGAATAGTAAAGGGCTGAGAGACAGCCTAGGGTACTTCTTAGCATGCACGGGGTCTTAGAAGTGATTCCATAAACAGAGGGAAAAACAAGTTAACTTGATGAAAGGAACAAAGCCAAAAGGTTTTACTTATAGATCTGAATTTTTGGATTTTTCCTTCAAATACTAAGATCTCATAAAAGTGGTTCTAGACTCCCACAGGAAACAAGCTACCAGAACTGAAGGGACCGTACCTTGAAGATGGGACATATGTCCCTGCTCCCTGTAATCCTACTTGGCTGCCTTCATCCTTTAATGTACCTAATGGGCACTTGAATTTTCAAGCCTACCAGTGGGAAGTGAGTTTTAAGACTAGGGCCCCCACTTCGAGTTGGGAAACTTGGAGAGTTCTTTATAAGATGATGGCAAGCACAAATTCTGTGATGCTGGGCTGGTTCCTGTTGCATCCTTCATGACTTGTTCATCACTTTCCAACTTTCTTAGCTGTCTATGCTTACAAAAGAGCTCAGCCCGTACTTGCCATCCACCCTGACAGAATGAGATCAAAACATTTTAGATTCTTACCTTGAGGTGACACAATACTAAAAGTTGAAAAGTTATAGGGCACTTTTGTTCAATAATTAAGAGAGAAGTGAACATTAAGCACAGAGGAATTTTTAAAGAGCTATGGCTGGCGTTGAGGAAGGCTATGCTTAGAAGCCAGGTTGCTTGAATTTGATTTTTGCTCTACATCCTTTCTGTGGGATCACAGGGTAGAGGATTCAACATCTTCAAGTATTTTCATGATTACAAACCAAGGACAGCGAATGCCCTCTCAGAGAGCTGTCAGTTAATAAATACAGTTTTCAGAATAGGGTCTACCAGAGTAAGAACTTGGTAAATGTTAGCCATGATTGGTATTATTGCCAGAGAAAACAGTGTCCTGTAGCTGTCTCACAGGCTTCTAGTCAAAGACTTGCCTGTGTTGTATGTAGACATTCAGATTTTAATAAGATTTTCCTGCCTCCAAAGTGTGTTTCAGGTTTATGGAATTCTCAGTTCTCTAAACTTGTTCTTAACTATTTTTTTAACTTAGAAACTGCAGGTGGTTTCTGTCTTCCTCAGCTTGATCTATGGTTTCCAGGGCCACAAGGCAACTCCATTTATCAAAGCTCCACAGATGAGGCATACCTTGCCCTCCTGTTAAGATTTGTAATGTCTCAATCCTTTGGATTCTTGGAGCTACGTCCTTCAGCCCTCCCCAGGTGTCTCTGTGGCCAGACTCCTTTGCAACTGAAGCTGGGTCCATTTCATTTTTGTCTCACAGCTATGCCAGGCAGGGTAGGCCAATTCTACCTACAGTGAAACTTGGGGTGTCAGGCTGTGGAAAACTCACAGATAAACTATATTAATAATGTTTAATGTGGTTCTGATATCCCATTTTGGAATAGAAATAATGATAGCTACTTACAGAGGGATGTTGTAAAGATTAAACGAGTTAATTATTGCATGCAATATGTACCAAAATGCTAACCAATAGTGGAACAATGGTAAAGTGAAGAGAGAAGTTCACTCAGAACAAGTTCATCAAGAACAATGGATGCATTATTACAATTTGTGAATAAATTTACTAAAAACCAGTGTTTCATTTTATTACCATGTACCAACAATTCTAGGCAACATCAAAGGTGCAATATGCAGTACCCACTAAGATGAAAACTATTTCTATTACCTCTTCCCTTGGTATACCACTGTTGATGATAGTATGTTCAGAACAATTAATAATTTATAAAAATAAAAAAGAGGGGCTAAAGATATGGCTCAGTGGTTAAGAATGTTTGCTGTTTTTGCAGAGGACCTGGGTTTGGTTCTCGATACCCATGATGGGTGGCTCACAACTGCCCATAACTCCAGTTCTAGGAGGGTCCCTGGCCTTGGCAGGCACTGCACATACATGGTATACATATGTATACTCATACATATACAAATACAATAAATAAATAAATAGATACTTCTTAAAAAAAGAAAAAGGAAAGTTCAAGATGACCAACTAGTACAATGACAGAAATAACTGTTATTTTGCAAGTGTTCATTTGGATTCCCAATTTTCATCCCACAGTTATTAAATTACTAAAACATTGCATAACTAAAAAGTTGATTTCCTTTCAATGCTTGCATTTAAGTACATGCTTTTGAGTTATCACAATTCGGTTCTCTGAAACCGTCTTACCACTACTGATGAACAGGTCAACTAGCTGTTCCTTGGAGAAACCTGGATCCACCTCAGCTCTCACTATTTCACAGGAGAATCCTGCAGCCAACTGTCTGTTCTGTGGTAAGAAAACAAGGCTGTTAGTTCTACACCCTTCACAGTTTTCAAAGAAAAGCAGATAGTATGAAAACAATCAGTACCTTGATGCAGAGAGCAAGCTGATGTGCTATATAGTCTTGCAAGCTTCCTTCTGGGCCATGGAAAATGACGTTATGATATTGTTCAACCTGTTCCAAATCAAGAAGAGCCCTTGGTGAAGATGGTAGGTTGAGAAGGGAAAGGCAGTACGCAAGAATGGAATTCTCTGACTATTCTCAGGCATTCAAAACAGTAAAAATATTTGAGATTAGCAATATTTAGCAGATATGTCAAATCTTTCATTTAGAACATGAAACACAGGCAAATTGCATTGAGCCATAGCTGACATTTTATACTTTCCACTGTTTTCTGTAGGAGGTTCTACATTCTGAGAAACACAGTTCTTATATTTTGTCTTTTACAAATGATTCTTACCTTAAATTTACCAGACCTTACCTTGCTTCATAGTAATTAGAATAACAATTCATTTTGTCAAGAAAATTTTATAAAATACATAGAAATTTAAGAAGCAGAATCAAAGCCCCTGATAGTGTCAGCATTCAGAAGTGACTGCTGGAAATTCTTTGTGTTCTTCCAGTTTTTACTTGCATGGTGGTTGTGTGTATGTATGCATTTATGCTTTTGATAGGACAGATGAGTGAGATCTTTTTACAGCTGTTGTTGAACATCAAAAGAATATTTTTGTGTATGATTTAGGTAAAAGACATCTTGATGAATATACAACTCCTAGATTAACTTTACTTGTCATTCTGTTTTGGAATTCAGTGTTTCAAACAAATCTAGAGACAGCTACTAAGAAAGAAAGAAAGAAAGAGAGAGAGAGAAAGAAAGAAAGAAAGATGGAGAGAGAAGGAGGGAGGAAAGAAAGAGAAGAGGAAACTTTTTGCATAGGTATCTTTAGGTTTTGGTTTTTATTTTGTTTTAAAGAAAACTATATTCTACTTATGAACATCTTGCTGTGAACATATGGAGCGTTAGTCTGCCCTTGAATAGAAAATCAATTATTGTCCACACATAGCAGAAGCAATAATGTCTGAAGCAGGATGTGGAGGTCAAGCTAACCTCCCACTTTTGTCATCCAAGGGGTGAGTCACTATTCCCAGCATAGACTTAGTTTTTTTCTTGAAAAGGTCTTACAGAAAAGGACCCAGATACATGCAATGCCAACCTAACTGATGCAAGTGATACTTTCATGTGTGAAGATTGAGTGACCTAGACTCAGAGAAATATTAACATGAAAGATCTGTTCTCTTTGTGGATTGTGTCAATAAAGACATTTTGTGCCTCTGTGGTGTGGCTACTTGATTTGTGAGGCTGTCCCTTTGAGAACAAATGGGAAGACAATACTCTTTAGTATAGTCCGTGTGGGATTCGGTGAAGAAGTAAATATGTCCTTGGGTCCTAAAAGGTTTGAAGAGAAACTCTTAGACTAGGACAAGGAACCTTTTTTGTTTACATGAAGCATTTTAAGAGGATCTGTGACCTTTCAGAAAACTAAGACATGCTTCCAGAAGCTATAGTAATGTGAGTGAGTGAACGTGTGTGTGGGGTTGTGTGTGTGGGGGAACCAATAGTTGTCTGTCAGGTGTCACATAAGTTAAAGAAGGGAAGTATTTTTCAGGGGCCCCTTGATAGTGAGTTTGAGCTTGGGACTGGGTATTAGGCTCTGAAAGACAATGTATCTGATAGCCATGAATGGTTTTCCTCTGAGTTAAATAGTATTCTGTTACCGGTAAGCCTTCAATAAGAACTTACTAATGTCTATAGGAGACACAACAGTGGCTGTAGTTGTCCAGGAAACATAAAGATCTAAAACCATAAGATGCACTCAGCAGTGGCACAGGCTGTTTTCTGTAGTATTGGTAGCATATGAACCAATAGTAGAGGTGTAGGCAAGGACCAAGACTGAAGTCAGGACTTCTCCAGAAACATAGAATAATATTCTAGAAATGCCAGCTGAGGTTCAGTTGCTGGACTGAGACCTGATAATACTATAAGACTCCTGGGAAAATTTAAATTGAAATACCATAATTTAAATATCATCTGTTCTCATTTGTACTTACAAAGTAGGAATCACGAGGGATATATGGGATTAAAATTATAATTCTAAAATGTTTCTCAGATTTGTCTAGCTATGGTCTCTTTCTCCCATTATTAAATAGAATCTGCACAGTTGGAACTTTTTTTCTTCAATTATGTTTTTGGTGATGTCGTCTCTTCTGGTTGTCTGCACTTCTACGCAACATCTGCAGTATTTCTAAGGAACATCTGCAGTACGTCTAAGGAACGTCTGCAGAGCTTCTTTCTGTTCTCTGTGAGGATATCTGTCCTCTATCCCATCACTATAACTCTGTCCTTCTGGTCTACCTGCTGAGAGAACTCCTGAGTTAGCCTCACACAACCCTGAATGCAGACTTTCCTGGTTCTACTCTTTATTGGTTCTAGTACAACTTATGTCCCTACATTTCTAGTTATAGTTCCTTTCCACACCCACCTTCTTTCCAACACTCTCCTCTTTCATCTTATGTCCAAAATTACTTTCTTGCACTGCTTTCATTGTCTCATCTCTTCATATTCCAGAAAATTTGCCACACATTTTGTTGATTTTTCTAGGGCTACAATCTGAATGTACTTGCCCCCTCCCATTCATAGATCCTGACTTCTACTTAAGGTGATAGAATTAAGAAGTGGGGCCTTTGAGAGAGATCAGTGTCTTATGAAAGGTATGAGCAAGAGGTTTTACCCCTTCTACCATGTGAGGAAATAGTAAGAAGACACTACTTATAACAAGTAAACAGACCCTCACTAGACCCTGTATCTACTGGTGCCTTAATCTTGAATATCCCAATCTCTAAAACCATGAAATATAAATTTCTATTGTCCATAAGCCACTCAACTTATGATATTTGTCAAAGCAGTATTCTCAGAATGACAATTTGTTCGACAGTATCCTTCTATGGGTATAATGTCAATTTTTTATATTGTTTAAATGCTGTGAAACCATGGTAACTTTTCGTTATAAGGCAGGATGTGGGGAACACTTGTTTTCTACTACTTTTCTGGCTGAATCCCTAGAGGTCACTAGGTAGATGACAGGCTGGTGTCTGCAGCTGCTGGTTAAACTCTCGACTCTAACAGTTTGCTAAGGATCCTGCTGCCCAACCCAGCAGTCAAGTGCATGAGGATGAACTGCAGGCCAGGCTGTTCATCTCCAGCCCCATGAAAGCGTTCATGAGTGGTATGTCTCTCAGGACTTGGCACTTTGTCACCAATCTCTATCAACTTCTTGTTTGGTGTCTCTACATTCGCTAAATGGATGTGGAAAGACTTGTAATGACAAGGAGTCGAAGAGAATCTCACAGTGCAGCAAAGGAGAGCCCAACTGCTCAGTTTTCTCACTGGTGTCAGTATTTCACTCCTGAATCATCAGGAATATAGTAAAGGAAGGCAGTGCTTTCCTACCCGATTTAGAAAGGCTTCACATAAACGAGCCTAATTCTCTACAATGACAAAGGGAGCAGAAAAAGTTCAGATTCTTGCCAAGGGGAAATCTTGGTCCTTTTTTCTGTTTTTGTGAGGTTTTATCACTTTTCAAAAAGGACCTCAGTGGTAAATTGTGCATTAGGCATTGCTAGCCAGGTGCAGTTTTAAACCAGAACTCTCAAGCCCTTCAAATTAATCCCAAATTGCTATGAAATACAGGCTAGAAATTATTTTACAAGGAATGAATTGTTTCACACTAGTGAAACAGGATACAGATTTTCAGGATTTGCTAAAAATTCTACCCCTGAGACTTCCAGCAAGCACTGAAATTTAATCTTGTTGCATTTCAGAAGACAACAGTGCTCTGTTCATTACAGCTATCCTGACAAGCTGCCTATGCTTCCTGAAGATTGATTTTGAAATCATATAACGGCAAAGGATCCAGCTTCATAGATAAGCTGTCTTAAATTCCAATACCTCATTTGTTCTCAGATTATGCTTTTTTAGGGGTAAAAGACAGTAAACATTCAATTTGAAATGTATTGAATAGATCTTTCACTAGCGGTAAACCTTTGTGTTTATATGGTATAATACCCTTGTGGGATAAGGTACAATACAAATAACTACATGAACTGTGTAGGTAAAGAGAAAGCAAGTGTACAGATTTCTAGATCATTCTAGACCATTATAATAATGGTCTCCTCTCATTTCAGAGCTTACTGATTTGTTGGACTTTTTTTTCTATTTCATTATACATAGGTGTACTGGTTGCCATTTTAAATCTTAAGCAGAAATTAATTATTGGAAGTAAATTACAGTTAGTCTGTTGAGATTGGTATAAATAGGAACAGCTTTGTCCAGAAAAGTATTCATCTGTTTCAGAGTTACCAAATCACATTTCTCTAAATGTCAAAATCTTAGATATAATGAAAAGCCATGCCTCCTGCCTCCAGCAGAGGGCTCTGTGTAGATAGAGATTTTTTTTTTGTTTTTTTTGTTTTTTTTTTTTGGATGGGAGTGGTGATGGAAAGGTTTTGTGTTGAAAGGAGATCTGTTTGAAAAACAAAATCAAATTCAACTTCTGAAATTGTAGTCTGAATCATAGTCACCAGAATTATCTCCTATACAATGTGAGATTTCTGCTTATTAGTAAGGACACTGGTGTCATTATCGCAATTGGTACCAATCCCTTTTATTCTTTTGTTCAGGCAGCTCATCACATGCCAACAGTGCTTTGTGAGGCACAGGGATCCTGGAAAAAAGTGACCTCAACAATGCACTATTCATTCTTTCATTTTTCCTCTACGTTTGTCTGCAGAGCAGGATTACAAGAGCTCAATAACCGCCAACATGGTAACTGCATTGTGCTTTCAGATTTGTGGCATCTTAAAGCAATAGAGCCTCAACTTTTGTTTGCTGTTCCACTTGTCATGAGTCTGAGGAAAAGCTGATGCCCAGAAAAAGCTTGGGGCCAGCTATGCTGAGACAGTAAACTCAAAAGAGAGTGAAAAACAAAAGAGCTTTACTGCACCAATAAAATCGAGAGAGCTGTCACTTAAAGTCACATGCTTTATACCTAGGAATTTCATTTCAACTTCTGACACTCAATTTCAAAGAAATAATTTATTTTGTAGAGGCATGAATG